AGCAGCAGGTCACGTGGGATTAAAACTCTTATGTAGGGTCAGCCTTGCAGTGCAAGGTGGAGTAACTCGTTTTTAGGCAGATAGCACTATATAATAGTTTTCTTTGGGCATTCTTAATCAATGCTTGAAGGGCCACGTGCATGGGCTCTGCCCCTTTATCCCCAATCTCCTTGCATTCAGTGGTCTCAAAGAGTTCACTTAATACAACTACAGTTCTCTGTGCAATCCGGGACCTTGATAAAGCAGGGTCCTGCATAAGATGCAGAACTGAATTTGTGTTCAAGCAAATCTGAGTACTGTACAGCTCCCCTTCAGGATAAGTTGGGATCTAGTAGGGGAAGGGCAGATGGGATGAACACATGGGGCCAGGCCCAGCTTATGAGAAATAAGGATAGATGAAGGCTGGAACTGTTGTCTGAATATGTTAACAAGACTTACTAAAATATCTCCAATAAGAGTGTAACTTCAGCAGCAAAACATCTTAGACCTCTAGAATAACTCAGTTTTCAGGAGTTTCCACAAGGCTAGGGCAGTGGGGACCAGCCTAATTTCTAAGGGGAGGATGCTCCATAAAACATATGCTGCTGCAGCAAAGCAGCACTAAGAGCCTCCAATTTCCACCCCTCCCCAAATGTACCTTACAGAAATGGAGAATCACCAACAGTTTTGCCTGCGATGCACAGGTTGATTTCAGTTGGAGAAGGGAGTTTTACAGGTACCCTGTGCAAGCCATAAGAGTATAACATTGCAAGAATGGAAACAGCTTGGTCATATTTTGGGCAGCACATGTTCCTTTGCATTGCTTGTTACATGTAAATATGTCACAGAAAATACTATGGGGAAAACAGCATGTTTTCTTTTTTCTTCCCAAACTAATGGATTGTTGGAAGAAAATTATGTCAAGGGACGGGAGAATCCATCTATCCATCCATCAGTAGGATAATTCTCTAGAACCTAAATAGAATTGGACCAAATTTGGTGTTGAGGAAAAGCCACAAAAACAGAGACTGAGTCTGAAAATGGGCTAAATATATCCAGGGGCTGCAGAGGAAAGAAATTTAGAAGAAACCCCCCCAAGGCACCCCGAGGCAGAAGCTGTTGGGCAATGGCTGAGACAGTTGCTGACTGCTCCTTTCTTAAAGTCCCCTCCTCCTGCTCATGTGACCCAGACAGGAGCTCCTACTAAGGGAGTGGAAAGAATTCCAGAAACTCTGCATGTTTTTCCGATGTTGCTTTTGTAATCAGTAATTAGCTGCCAGACCTCATGCTGGGCGTAGCGATAAAGCGTGATACACCAGACACCGCAGCAGTGCCTGTTTAGGAACTTACCTGCAAGAGAAGCTCACATACATGAAATGGCTAGAGAAGGTACTTTATGTAGACAAGACAGAGCCATATGTACACAGATCTGCCTACTGCAGAACACAGTAATCCCAGTCTTTCTCTCTGATATTTTCTCTCTCTGCTTCAGAGTTTAAATTCTAGATCTTTTTGAGTCAATGGAATTGTGGTCATTCTGTTCCTGATCCTGAGAGTGGGAGACACTTGTTCAACATTTATGTAACAGTTCTGTCTAGACTGGGGACTGCTGCTTTGTGGCTCATAAGCTTGAGCCCTTTTGTCTCCTTAAGAGAGACTATTGGTTTTTACAACTAGCCTGCATTACAGGCCCGTTCACCATGGGGGATATATTGGCTAGGTTTGCATGACATATTTATTCACTATTAACCATGTTTTTCTCAACATTCTGTTTTACATGACACAAGGAACTATGAGACATTGGACTATAAACTAGGGCAAAATCCAAATTCCCACTGGGTGGCAGCAAAGGGTTAACATTTTCCATATCTCTTTGCTGCAATCTAATGGTCCTCCAGGGTTTGTTTCATTTGGGGTGTTTTTTTGCTGATTATTTTTTTTTTGCTGATTTGCACACACACACACACACACACAATGTGGTGTGTGCCCAGCCTAAGTGGAATTATGTGAATGGGGAAATTTAGTGGATTGTCTCCATTCCTCAACCAGACCTAACATGAACTGTGTTTGCATGGTATATTTGTACATGCTACGCCAAACTGTAGTGTAGTGGGAACACAGCCAATGACTCATAGTGGTTCTCTAGCATTTCTGGGGTGAAACTTTCCCAGCCTTCTGTGGAACTGAAAGTATTGAATTAAGTTACCTTCTGGGCTCCCTTCACAGAAACAATGATGTAACAATAAAACTTTACAAATGAAATGAATGTGTTCTAGCTCTGATCCAATTCAATATATTGCTTTAATATGGATTTATTATATCTTAATTAAAGATATGTTATACCACCCTTTACAGAACTTCCCAAGAGTAGTTTACTAAAACATGAGGACATTCAAAAACAAATTATAATAATTAAATGAAATAAAAAATAAAATAATTATAAAAATAAAATAATGTAGTAATAAAGAACAATT